CCTTCACCTATGGCCGTAAGGGCGCACTCTACTCGAGGCATGGCGGCTTCTAGGGCCCTCCTCGCAGGGGCGTCTCTCCAGGATTTGTGTGATGCGGCTGGCTGGGCCACCCCTCACACTTTTATTCGGTTTTACAGTCTGGACCTGCCTTCTGCACCCGGCACCCGTGTAATTTCCTCCTAGTCGTGCCGTCAGGTTCTGCACGCTGGGGGCAGGCGGGGTTTTGGTGCGGCCTAAGTGGGTATCTCGTTCCCATAGTGTTGTCACCAACGCAGTTCGAGTTCTCTCGAAGGGGAACGTCTTGGGTTACGTATGTAACACTTGTTCCCCGAGAAAGGGAACGAGACACTGTGTCGGTCCACCACACCTCACCCCGCCTGGAGTGCCTTGCTTCATAGAAAGGGGCTAATGTGTCTTATGTGCCGGCGTGCTTATATACCCCCTCTGGTTACGCCGTCACACACTACCGTTCTAGTAACACCAATAGGATTGGAGTAGTTTCATTCATAGTTCAGCCCTGCCACGCCCAGGGGCGTTCCCATAGTGTCGTTACCGACGCAGTGTCTCGTTCCCCTTCTCGGGGAACAAGGGTTACATACGTAACCCGAGACGTTATCCAAGGTTGGTGCTCCTGGCTGTTGTAACGACAGTTGTTATGGTCGTTAGAGTCACCCAAGGCCAAGTCTGAACGACCATCACCTGAGGCCAAGAGGTTACGTTTGTTCAGTTTCCTGGGAAGTGACGAAAGGACAGCATTGTAAGTGGTGGCGTAGACCCCCTCCTCTGTTCAAAAACGGCTTCTCTACCCGGGTGTAAATGGTTTCCTTGAAACCTCTTTCAAACCATCCATCCTCCCTGTCTAAAACGTGCACCTGGTGGTCCTCAAACGAGTGTCCTCTGTCCTTCAGATGTAAGTAGACTGCAGAGTCTTCACCTGAGGAGTTGGCCCTTCTGTGTTGAGCCTTTCGTTTGTGTAGTGGTTGTTTAGTCTCCCCAATATACAGGTCTGTGCATCCCTCACTGCATTGTATTGCATACACTAGATTACTTTTCTTGTGTTTGGGTGTGCGGTCTTTGGGGTGGACCAGGATCTGTCTTAGTCTGTTCTTGGGTTTAAAAAACACAGGGATGTTGTGTTTGTTGAATATCCTCCTGAGTTTCTCTGTTACTCCAGACAAGTATGGAATCACATTGTTGTTGCGTTAGCTCTTCTTTCCTCATCCCTCATAGTGTTGGTGTTGTTCCTGGATCTTCTGGCTGTTTTTACAAAAGTCCATTTAGGATTGAAAAGTAGGTATTGGTCTGTGTGTGGGTTTCTGTAAACCCTCATTTTCAGGCTCCTGTCCTCTTCAGTGTATACAGCACAGTCCAGGTGGGCCAAACTGCTGTCGTTGACATCTTGTGTGAACTTGATGTTACTGTCCACAGAGTTAATGTGTTCAGTGAAGGCTTGCACTTCCTGGGTTTTAATATCTACCCCTTGTGTTGTCCACATACCTGTACCAGTAGCTAGGTGCTGTTTATCTGAAGGAGTTCCGGCTTTTGGTTACCTCCACTTTTTGTTGGCCACAATAGGTGATGCTGTTGAGCCCATGGCACAGCCATGCTTCTGTCTGTAGAATCCTCTGTTGTACTGGAAATAGGTGGTGTTTAGACAGAGGTCGAGTAATTTACAGATGTCAGAGCTGATGCTAGTTCTGTTGTCCGGGGTGTTGTCTTGTAGCAGTCGTGTCCTTACAGTTTCTACTGCCTCCATGGTAGCCTGTGGTAGCCGTCCCCCGGGATTTCCTGAGCAGCCAGGAAACGGTGGCTGGGGGACTGTCCGAAGGAGGAATAGTCGTAAGCATTCAAAGCCCACGGGGCGCCATCAACCTGTTCACGTTTCTAACAGATTTTCCCCACTCAGCGACACACCCGCTGAGAAACCAACTCTGATCACTGGCAGCTCCATTTTGAGAAACGTGAAGTTAGCGAAGCCAGCGGCCATAGTTAAGTGCATCCCTGGGGCCAGAGCGGGCGACATTGAGTCTTATTTGAAACTGCTGGCTAAGGATAAACGTAAATACAGTAAGATTGTTATTCACGTCGGCTATAATGACTCCCGGTTACGCCAATCGGAGGTCACTAAGATTAATGTTGAGTCTGTGTGTACATATGCAAAAACAATGTCGGACACCGTAGTTTTCTCTGGACCCCTGCCAAATCTGACCAGTGATGACATGTATAGCCACACGTCGTCATTCCGCCGCTGGTTGTCGAGGTGGTGTCCAGCAAACGATGTGGGCTTTGTAGATCATTGGCAGACTTTCTGGGGAAGACCTGGTCTGATTCAGAGAGACGGCATCCATCCCACTTGGGAAGGAGCAGCTCTCATTTTTAGAAATCTGTCCCAGTTTAATAGTGGACCAAATCCATGAGTTGAGACCAGGAGGCAGAGTCGCAGTCCAACACACTTCTCTGCTCCTCCATTTCAGGAGTTACTTAGTGAAAATCCTATAGTGACGGTGTGTCTGCCCCCCGACCATCAAAATTATGGTTACATTATAATTATAGTGTACCGAGCACCTGGCCTGTACTCTGAATTCTTATCTGAATTTGCAGAGTTTTTGTCAACTTTAGTCCTTAAAACGGACAAAGTTATTATTGTAGGGGATTATAATATTCATGTGGACATTGAGAATGACAGCTTCAGTACTGCGTTTATCTCTCTGTTAGATTCCATTGGCTTCTCTCAGAGTGTTCATGAACCGACTCACTGTTTTAACCACACCCTCGACCTTGTTTTGGTGTATGGTATTGAAATTGAAAATTTAGTGGTCTTCCAACAGAATCCCTCTTTGTCCGACCACTGTTTGATAACTTTTGAGTTTGTATTGCTAAACTATACACCATTGGGCAAAAATTTCTATACAAGATGTCTCTCTGATAGTGCTGTAGCTAAATTTAAGGATGCGATTCCATCAGCCGGGGGATTTCCCATGATGCACTGAGCTCCTCTCTCCTCTACGTTCTCTCCCTCTGTATGCAACCTCATCCCATTATTGCATGTTACAATCACAACTTCTCCCCTTTCCGGTAGTCTTGTGCTTTCTCGTCCCTCTCCTCTCTCCTCCTATCACTTCCTGAAGGTTTTCTGGCTCTGGAGCTGTGGAGTCTGGATCTGTGGTTGCGGGTCACCTGCTGCCCCCGTGTTCCTGCTCGACACCCTCTGCTACAACAACTATTGTTACTAGTCCTATTGTTATTATTGTTATTATAATCATTAACATTACGATTGTTATCATTAACACTATTATAAATATCTGTACCATTTTTCATTTAGTCTACAGCAACATCACCTTTACTGTCTGTACCTCTGTGTGTATATTGTGTAGGCTGCCTCCCTCCCTCTCTCTCCTTCCAACCAACCCCCCCCCCCCTCTCTCCCTCACCCCAACCGGTCGAGGCAGATGGTCGCCCACCCTGAGTCATGGTTCTGCTCGAGGTTTCTGCCTCTTAAAGGAAGTTTTTTCTTGCCTCTGTCTCCTAGTGCTGCTCTTGGTGGGAACTGTTGGGCTTCTGTAAATATCATCATAGAGTACGGTCTAGACCTGCTCTTTTATGAAAAGCACTGTGAGATAACTGTTGTTGTGATTTGGCGCTATATAAATAAAATTGAATTGAATTGACTGGTGGGGATACATGTGAACAAGGAAGTCACATCTTAGGTCACCATGGTTTCATCTGGGTCCAGTTTCAGTCCTCTGACTTTGTTCACAAAATCTATGGAGTTTTGGATGTGGTGAGGCGTGTTGCCAACCAAGGGGGCTAAGATGGTAGATATGTGTTTGGCAATGTTGTAGGTGACCGAGTTTATGCTATTGGGCCTGAGAGGGTGATGTTTTCTTCCTGTAGCTGTTATAGACATTTTATGGCCTTTTTCTTGTGTATTTGTGTCCATTTGTAATGTGTTGACCTTGTCCTGGTAGTCCGCTGTGTTTAGGACCACTGTGAATTTTCCTTTGTCAGCAGATAGGATGGTGATGTTTTCATCCGTGCTCAGGGATGTAGCATAATATATTTAGCATATAGTACAGAAAACAAAGTTGGTATGTAGTATAATATCATTAAAATGTAGTATAATATCATTAAAATGTAGTGTGTATTTGGGAGTACTGCTGCTCTCTAGTGGCTACAACAACACACTGCTTCACTTATGAGGCCTTTTACTGCCGCTGCTGCTTCAGCTCCTGTTACCAAGCCCTTCCTGAAATACCTCAACAACGATTGGATGGATTGTGATGAAATGTGTTTCTGTTTCCGGCTCTGACAAAGAAGCCTTTAGTCATGTTTGTATGAGGACTTGTTGGCTCTCATCAACACCAAGTGTAAACTGTAAAGTTCACCTTTGATGGCTAAAGTCCCCATAAATAAAGTCCATGGACGTGACCTCCAGGTGGGTCGTCATTGTTGGTCTCTGGGCTCAGTTCAACTCTGTGTGGGTGGAGGGCTCAGTGGAAAAAAGGCTTCCAGACAACAAGAGAAAAGACAAACAGCTACAGAGAGGGAGAGGAGTTGATGAGTGTGTACAGCAGCAGATATGAATCTGTTCTCAGTGGTTATTAAGACTCATAAAAAACTGTTGACAGCCAATCAGCACTTCCTTTCCTGCAGCAGTGTGGGTTTCTGCTCTGCAGCCTCCTCACCGCTAGCTGCACTTTTTCACATTAATAACACAATGACAGTTACAAACGTCAAATCATTCTAGGAAGTTCAGTTTGATTTCAGCGCTCAGTGCTCACTGTCTCAGTTTTGATCTGTTATTAATCTGTGAGAGAAACAGCTCAAATCCTGAACTCAGAGCTGAGAAGCTGAAATAAAAGGAGATATGTTCAACCACCTGCAGTCTGCTCTGATCCCACTTTATGACCTCACACTGATTCTAACAGGCAGTCAGACAGCAGAGTGTTCACATGGGAATAATAACTAAACAATGTTTCAAAACGGCAGCAGGCAAAATAAAAAGTTAAGCAGCATTTTATTGGTTTAGAAGAAATAAAAACAGCCATCATGTTGCCGATATTCAGACTTCAGCCCGACTGATGAGAGCTAGTTACAACCAGAGTCAAATGACTTGTAGCTGTCAACATATAGGCTGTTTCGGTTCTGATTATTTGCCATGAAGGCAAACTGAAAACAGTACAAACAATGATGTTTACAAAACACAGACGCTGGGATTTTTCTTTTTATTGAGAAAGACTGAAATAATTTGCCAAACCTGCCACACTCTGCATAATGTATTAAAAAGAGACACAAGAACAGAAAAATACTGAAAACAAAAAAATCTAGCAGACAGCTAATGATTCAGCTTCATTTTCTATTTTTATATAAGTCACAAATGGAAATAATCTAGATCATCAAAATAACAAATACACAGAACTTACACTCAGCAAATATGTATGTGTATATATTTTTAGGATTACTACATCTAACCTGTGCACATCATAACTTACATTTGTAATTTCTGCAGAAAGTGACCAATGAGTTAAATTGATGAGATCTGATGGTGAGAAAAGGCGAGCAGAAAGCAGTCAGTCAGCATGTGTGCAGCCGGTGGACGGTCCCTTGTTTCTGAGGATTCACAGCAGAGGGAGTCCACAGCAGTACACCAGACTCTTCACTATCAGCACTGTGTACAGCAGCCAGAGCAGCTTCACCCTGCACTGAGACTGGAAGGACACTGACAGACAGACAGAGACATCAGAATATCATTAGTATACTTGGGACCTTCCAGGTGGGACGACATGAAGACGGGTCGGCTTCAAATGAATGAAAGCTCAAAGGTTCTTATTAAATACGATTCAGGGCCCGACCATACTTTTTAAGGGCCCTAAACAGAATCTGATTTTCTTCTTTAAAGTTGAGAGCTTCAATTAACTTTGTAATTCACAACTAACTACAATTAAACGATTAAAGCCCCTTAAGGATCAAACAGAAAGTCCATATTTAAAAAGAAACAGGTTATTATGAGTTTGAAGTCGGACTAGTTGATTTTTACATGCAGCCCTAACTGCAGCAGAACATTGGAGCTGTCTATGCAGAGAGGCAGCAGGTGATCTTACAGTCAGCTTGCTGCAGAGCTGCCAGGTCTGCTGGCTCTCTCTCTGGAGGACAGGAGGCCACCGGAACCTCTGAAACAGAAAAGCAGTCAGAAAGAAATGTCAGTCCTCTGCTCCTCTGCTCTCTTTGACAGCGTCTCCACATGAAGCTGAATCTCTGCTGAACACAGTCACCAAGCCTTCATTACCTTGTTCTGTTTGGGCCTTCACTACCCCCCCCTCGTGCTGGACGTAGCAGCGGTATTTATACGTGTAGAGAGCGTCCCGATCAATCACTCTGATGGCGGCGGTGCGTCCCGAATCTCTGAGCTCCAGCTGCACCTCCTCAGCAGGTGCCTGCTCCTCCAGAGACTCGTTCACCTTTCGTCTTTTCCAGGAGAAGCGGACCACAGGAGGAAACATGTTTGAGGCCACACACAGCAGGGAGCTCTTCCCCTCATGGTGGGCTCTGGATGCTGCTGGGTACACGCTCACCACGGGCTTCACTACCGGCTTATCTGAAGTTTGACAGCAGCAACAAGCAGCACAGACACACATTCACACAGTCAACAGCAGCTTCCAGCACTGCATTCAGTCTGATCCTGGAAACTACATGGACTCTGATCACTGAGCTCCTCATCAATACAGCACACAGTTCACTACATGGACTGGATTCACCTTCATATCACACACGTCATGTATAATAATAATAATATTAATATGTTATATGAGGAAAGAAAAGAATTTTACTTATTTAGCAGTTCTACATATGCTGGATTCTTATAATATAATTATGAAATATCCCTTTAAAAACTTAATGTTTTATATATTAGGGTTAATAAACATATTTTAATAAAGGTATTTTTTACGTTCACATTAAATTAGTTATAGTTTTACATTTACTTAGACATATATATCATATACTTTATTTTAATGGCAAAAAAATCTAATTGTTGCATCAGTAATTTCATAAAGTTTTAAAATTAAAAAAATTCTATATAAAACACAATTTACATATATGTTCAGATACATGATCGAAAGTCTGATGAAACAACAATACTGTAATCTAAGTACATTTTAATATAACATAATATCAAACATTACATAAGAATCAAAACTACTGTTTACATGTTAGGGTAAAAATACATATTACACCAAATTACATATTTACTTCACATAAAATAATTTCAAGTCAAGTCACGTACATTATTTATAATTTCTGAACTTGAACCACTCAACAACTAATCAATACATCAATAATGTCTTTGTTTAATATGTTAAATGTGAATAAAGACAGCTTTATAATATTAAATAAGATTCACTATTGACTGATTACTTTTTAATATAATGTAATAATGTGATGTTAAAATTATAAAGAACCTGATACATCATTTTTACTACCATATACTTTTGAAAACATGTTTTATAATTTAAATTATAAAGCATCACAAACTATTTGTATTTATATTAAAAGTATAAAATGCAAATATATTTGTGTGAGCGACTTTGTATCACTCTATTTCACATATATAAATACATAAATGTAAATTTTATCATTTAAAATGAATAAATTATCCTGTACAACATATTTATAGTAAAATGTCTTTTCAAAAACAATAGACTGCGCTGACTCACTGAGAGGATCAAATACTGTATTTACAACTTTGTCAATATCTTACTTTTTCCATATGAATCAGTTTTGCTGGTGCAGAAATAAATAATAACTTCAGTTGTGCAGTGAGATTTAAACATCTTTTCAGCAATTATGAACCTTTTTATGTAACAATAGCTGCACGGCTGCAAGAACTCTACTAATTATGAACAAACTAATATTTGAAGCCTGAAACAGCAGAAACTCATTAAAAACACATTTTAACTTGTTTAATAAAACAACTGAAGGAAAATAAATGTTTATTCTTACCTGTTACATACAGTTTAGTTCCAGAGCCAAAGATCAAGTAGCCACAGTGAAACAGAGTAATACAAAAACCTGTCAGCTGCTGAATGTGTCAGCTGAGGTGAACAAATCCAGATGATGAACCAGGATCATATTTCAGCTGCATGATGTGTTTCTCTAATGTTCATATCAACATGACTGTCTCTTCTTTTATTGTCTTTTTAGACACACTGGCAGTGTTGCTCTGTGCATGCTGATGTCTGCTGGTCCAGATGGACTGGACCTGGACCAAAGGATGGATGGATTGACATTGTTGTTCAGACATTCTTGGTCCCCAGAGGATTCACTTCATTAATTCACTTGATTCTGACTCTTCAGAAGAAGATGCAGATGTCCAGGCCCAGACTTCCTCTTCTGTGCTCTTGTCATTGTTTACAGTCCAATAAGCAATCTGAGAGCCCATCAGCTGTCATCTGATATAAAAGCTAATCTGAAGTTAAATATTCATCAGATGATAGCCGATGGTTTCTGCCTTATTTGCTCTCCACACGGACTGTTGACCTGCATGCAACCAAAACCAGCTCAGATTTGATTGGTCAATACTATTCGGACTACAAACAGAAACCACAACACATTCATATGCAGAAATCTGTTTACAGAGATTATTTCTGATCTGTATCAAGACTTTAAGGATAGACGGTGCTGTATGCTGTACAGATTGTAAAGCCTTTGTTAGCCGGTGTTAGCATCAAATGCCAACACCGAATCTGAAGGAGAACATCTGGTGGTCCCTTTTATGTTTCTTTCTTCCCCCCAGTGCCTGTAGGTTTCTCTATTAGGTCTTCTTTCACCTACAACTGATCTATCTGATGTTTAGACTCCAATGCTTCGTCATATTGGAATCTCTCACTATCCATGAGTGGTTCTCTGATCTGTGGAGCCAGTGAGTTCTTGTAAATATTCTTGTAAGATTCCCAGAGAACACTGATATCTGCCAGCCTGACGCCTGAGCTACTGTCTCTAACTAATCAGTCTAAGTACATGTGAGAAACACCTAAAGCTAGAATGTCAGAAAACACTTATGGGGTCAGCTAAATTACTCTAAGCTAGAGCTGTCTTACTTTTCCCTGTCACATCAACAAAGCCCCTTAAGAAATATTCTCCACACGTGGCTATGCATAGGCTACAGCGTACCTAAGGAGGAGATTCGACAAAAAACTATACACTGAGCTTTGTGAGGGAAATGAGGAACAGGTGAGCAGGTGGGCGGGGAGGTCAGGTGATGGGAATGAAGACAGAGAGGCAGAATGGAGAAACACAACTGAGTCAGACACTGTGACCCCCCTCCAGTTAATCTGTTCACGTTTGTGTTATTAAGATATTAAGATACACTTTGGTGTGGGTTTGAGTAAGAAGCACTCGTGTTTTGCTCTGAAGTGTTGGCTGTAATTTTTGCCAGCTTGCTGTGTACCGAGTATTTATTCTGTGGAAATAGTGCAGGATAAAACTTTAGCTCTATTTCGTTTTACCCTTATATTAACTTAGATTTATTTTATGTTCATAATATTTTTATTTAACTTCACAGACATCTTAATATTAAAAACATTTGTATTGTTTTTAGATAATTTTTTTGCACTGAATGTTTTTTGATATAAAGTTGACTTTGCACTACCTCGTTCCCCTTCGAGGGAACTCGAACTGCGTCGGTGACGACACTATGGGAACGCCTCTGGGCGTGGCAGGGCTGAAACCATGAGTGAAACTACTCCGATCCTATTGGCGTTGCTAGAACGGTAGCGTGTGACGGCGTAACTGGAGGCGTATATAAGCACGCCGGCACACCGGACACATTAGCTTTATTCTCTTCGGCAACCACGAGAGGAAATTTCTTACCTGGAAGGAAGTCTGGCAGAGGAGATGGCTGGTGAGCAGTTCAGGCAGTGTGTTTCCCATGCCCGCGTCAACATCACGGCTGGGGACACTCGTGCCCTGTGTGCGTCTTGTCTGGGGATGCCGCACGCCCAGGCAGCTCTCGAGGGGGCCGCTTGCGGCCATTGCGAGGCCCTGCCCCTGAGGGCGCTGAGGTCCCGTGCGGCTCTTTTCTCCGAAGACGGCCGGATGCGCTCTCCCCGTGGCTCGGGCCCGGTGGTCGCTGAGTCGGCGCGGCGGCTTCGGTCATGGGGCTCCCAGCGTGACGTCTCCGAGTGCATCGGGACTGCCGAGGCTTTTTCCCGTTCCTCGTCTGCTCGTCTGACAGAGAAGCTACAAAAAGAAATTGAACTCAGTGACACTGACGTTCCTTTTGGTGAAGCTGAAGTTGTTGGTGAGTAAAAAAACAAACTTTGATGCGATGCTTGTGCACCGGAGGAAAGAGGTCACCAGAGCTCCACCGCCTTCACAACCAATCTGCAGAAAGCGGCCTCCCTCCTGATCAGTGACGATGATGAAGGGGGACATGCCGACGCCCTGGATGACCCAGGTGTGATGATTAGGTGTAATTCCACATTGTACCAAACGGCGTCAGTAGTGGTTTGTGGGAACAAGGGATTGATGTTTTAGGTACAGGGAGGCAGCAGAGGAAGTTGTTGTTGACTGGCTAGCACGAGGAATAAAGAAACCCATAGAGTTTGCACAAGAGTGGTCACAGTTTATTTTCATGAAGAATAATGAACAAAACATGGTACCAGGAGTAAAACCAGAACGAGGTGCACTGTGAACAGCGGCATGGATTCGTTAAAGCCACCGGAGACTTTGAAACTAACGGGGAATGTCGACAGCAACTGGCGCACCTTCAAGCAGCAATTTCAGCTGTAAATCATGGGTCTAGAGACGAAGTCTGATGCAAGGAAGGTAGCGTTACTGCTAACAATAGCAGGACCTCAAGCCATAGAAGTGTGTAATACCTTCGTATACGACAGGGAAGATGACAAAGACAAACTTGATAAAGTGCTCGAAAAGTTTGATGCCCACTGCTCTCCAAAAAAGAACGAGACATACGAGAGATATGTTTTTCGTTCCCGGGTGCAGCAGCAGCGTGAACCCTTTGATAGCTTTCTGAGCGACTTGAAGCTCAAAGCACAGTCATGCAACTTTGCTACACTGAAGGACTCCATGCTCCGAGACCAGGTCGTGTTTGGTGTGGAGGAAAGGCTACTGCGGGAAACGGAGCTGACGCTGGAAGGGGCCGTCAAGATCTGCCAGGCAAGTGAGATTAAAGGGAAATACGCGCAACGTATCCCAAAAGAAAGTTAACACCTTTGGGGTGACTTCCCCTGAGACCCACTCCCAAATTGACGTCACCACTACCTAATGAAGTCAAATAAAAGGGCCTTGTTGTCTTCTGGCTCACCTCTTCTCTAAAAAACTCTCTTGAAACTAAACCTATACGCTCTCTTAACTTCCTTTACTTTTTGAAATTCCGATTTTTTCCGTTTCGTACTTAAATTTTCTTCAGACGAGCTGAGAAAGCTACGACCCTGAATCCCAATTTTCTTAGCGGGAGTTTTGATTTTTGATTTTTTGTTTGGAGCTGCCTGTTTAATCTCAGCAACATTAAACAGCCGATATTCCCGAGGCCTCGCGAACCTACGGCGAATGTGTGTTTATTTGATTTTGTTGTTGCAACCTCATCCGATCATTGTTGAACAACGTTGGACCAGAAACTCAGAAGCCTTCATTTATGGCCTTGAATAAATGAAACCACGGCTCTGACGACAGAACCCTGAGTGGGCTCCGCTATAGCGACACCAAACGAACTGAGATCAGAGTAAAAGCCTTGGCTGACGGCCCGTTGCTGCAAGCGCTTCCCACAAAGGACTCCGGAACAAATCCACCGGTTTCGAACTCAACTCGAAAAAGCCACTGGGGTCGGGCCAGAACCGACTCCACGAGCCAACCGGCAG